AGTTTTATCTGAATTAAGAAGCAGAAAGTTAGCGGCCATCCAGGTCTTTATGTCTTTAAGACATTCCTGCAGTTTAACTAATTGGTGTGTGTTATCTGGCTTCATGGACAGATAGAGCTGGGTGTCATCTGCATAGCAGTGAAAATGTATGCTATGTCTTCTAATGATGCTGCCTAAGGGAAGCATGTATAATGTAAACAGAATTGGTCCTAGCACTGAACCCTGTGGAACTCCATAATTAACCTCAGTGTGTGAAGAGGACTCTCCATTTACATGCACAAACTGGAGTCTATTAGATAGATATGATACAAACCACTGCAGTGCAGTACCTGTAATACCTACAGCATGTTCTAATCGCTCTAATAGGATATTACCAATTGAGTCTAATAACAGATTAAATGCCATGTTGAGGCTGTCATTTTTAGCATCTACATGGATGTTAAAATCACCCACAATGTCTTTGTGTGCTCGGTTGCCGTTCCCGGAAATGTAAAATAAAGATCATTTTTTGAATTTTGACCACTCTGAGCCCAGTCTTTTTTGGCCGCCAAAAGAATGCAAAGAACTAAATTGAATACCCCCCTGCTCTGTGTCCAGGCCAACCTCCCAGTTCCTCCTCTAGGTTGACACCCTGAACTGTCCTACTCTGCTCAGGAGCCAGGCTGACTACCTCAGTTGTCATTTATTGTTTGTTGGCCTTTCCTGCTCCCTGTTTTTGGTCATGTTTATGATTCTTTGTCACTGGGCCAGTACCCTGTGTTTTATGTTATTATTAATCTTTGATTTCAACATTGTTTTTTACTGTTAGTGTTTTGGTTTCTGTTTTGTATTTCTAGCTCCCTAAGTTCTCTAGTATTTCTTGGGTTTTGTTCCTGTGCCCCTCACATTTAGTGTAGGTTCTCTCCATGTTTATTTTCTTGTTCCCCAGTCAGTCGTGTCTCATGTCACTCCTGTCCATGCGCTCCGTGTTCACTCTGTTCAGTCTCAAGTCCGTGCCTCTGTGCCTGTCCCATGTTCCCTGTTTTACTTTGATAGTCCCTTTCCTGTGTTCAGTGTTTTGAGTTTTGCTTTTCCCCTGTCTGGTTACGTCTGATTAGTCCCAGCTGTGTTTCCACCTGTTACCCATCCTCTCGTTATCCTACCTGCGTATTTTAGTCCTCAGTCTTCCCCTTCCTCTGCCCTGTTATACCCTCTCATTGCTGTGTGCTACTTTCGTGCTCCTGGTTTAACTTGGTAAACTCCTAGTCTCCAGCTTCTTCATTCTTCCTTCTCTGTTTCCAAGTTTAGTCTCCTAGTTTGTAGTTATTATGTTCTGTTTCCTGTATTTTGACATACATTAAAAGCTGCCTCTTTTAGTTCATCCCTCTGTGTTCTGAGTCTTGCGTTTGGGTCCAATCTCCTGCTTGCCACACAATAAACATGACATTTTTGTTAAACTTGGTCTTGGTATCCTGCATTTCGAGTCCTCACCCTACACACTCCACATTATGAGATCCTAAATCTTAGTATTCAGGGGACAAAAGAGTAACAATTCTAACAGATACATAAATTATATAGACTGATGATCTATAATATAAATCTTTTGTGTTGAAGGATGCAGGTACAGTTTAATGCTTTGAAGCTTCTGAAACCTATGTCATCACCAAGATAACATAGACTTCAGGAGCAAAACAGCGAGACATAGTAGTGACAGAATCCTTAAAGATATATGGAAGAAATGGCAATGATGGCAATGAAAACAAAGTCAAGAATTGAGAATTGGAGAATAACTTCAGGTCTTCCTGACATTATCTTGTTCTCAGGTTTCATTGTTTTACCTGTTTACACACTTTATTCCACAGAGACAGAAAAGGAAAAAGCAGGGCTGCAAGCAGAAGTTAAGAGCAAGAACCAGAAAAAACTAAATCAATGGATGTTAAGACAAGAGGACATAAAGAGAGGGATGCAGCAGACAGGCACACTCTAATGATCCATCATGGCTGAACGCAATCCCAGCAGTGACAGGGTTTAGAACAGGACTCCCCGGAGTCTAGACACTGGTGTTGGTGAGGATGCAGCCTGAGGTTTGGATGGAGCTCTGAGGCGATATGGAGATGGGGAGAAGGTGGGCTGCATGAATGAGAGTCTAAAAGGGAGAATGGCAGAGAGCATAGATTTAAACCAATCAAGGTGGAGGCTGATTGGCTCAAAGAAGCCAGACAGGATGATGACTGTTCTAGAGTCATGATGCTAATGTGGAGATTGACTGTGTGGGAAAGTGGTAGTGATGCAGATGAGTGAGCTTCATAGTTGAAAAATATTATTTGAAAAAATAAATGGGTAGTTTAAACAATGAGTTCTTGATCTCAGCTTGTCAGACACTGATCCTTGGTGTTTATATTTTAAGGCACCGGGAACCCTTTAAGGGTCACTTTTTAATATGCTGGGAAGTGTTCCACATCAGCATAATGCAGTTTCAGGAAGCATTACATGATGTGAAAGAGAGGCATGTTGTGCATTAAGATAGAACTTCATCTTTTTGCACACTGTCTAGAAAATTGTTTCCCAACAATAATTTTTTGGTTTTTGACTTTTGGGGCCATATTAACAAACTTTCTAAAAGTCTAAGCTCTAAGTTAGTCCCAAACTTTTTACTTTGGTGACGCTGTATGAGTCGTTCTTTTAAAAGGTGTGAATCTTTAGTAAAAGTATATTATAGAGATGCTGGGTATAAAATGGGCAGTGTGTTATCAGCATTTCTCAGACAAAAAAAATAGTGGAAGGACAAAACAGGAAAACTAGTCAACAACTTTTTCCTTCAAGTGAGAAAATTGGATATTTGCATTTTGCAGACTTGAGATAATTCACAATCATCTTTTTAAGAAAAGATTCCTCACTGAAGCATATTTTATGTATATTCTGGTGCTTAAACAAAAAGCTCTACAAAAATTCCCCAAAGTTTAAATGATGCCAAGTTAATAAAATACTGAGATGTTTTTGGTGCCTTTCATTAAAGATGCTTTTGTTGAAGCTTACTCCTGTGTTAACACTAGACACATTAACCCTCTAAGTTTTCATCAGTGACAACCCAAACTGTAGGCCCAAACACTAGTCCTAGGTTTTGGAGAAAAGCAAAAGCTCATCTTTTGAGAAAATGAAAATAATTTGTGTGCAAGTTGGAAGTTTTTTCTTATTATTTCAAGTTTTGACAGTCTTGTATGCAAACTAAAATCATGTATTCTGTTAGTATAAGTTTAGAGTTGGAGTCATCCTCAGTGATGACTTTGACCTCAGAGGGTTAACATTTTGGTGAGTTTAAAGTCATGATTTTATGTGACGTAATGCTATGGGAAAATATAACTTTAAGAAAATATTCTGCTGAGTTTTGTCAATCAGAAGATTAAAAAATGTAACTGAAACACATGTTTTTCCTAAAAAGTCGTTTTGGCTTGTCTCCAAAACATAAGGATTCCAGGCTAGAGTCGGGGCTGTCACCAGTGACGATTTAGACCTCAGAGGGTTAAAAAAGGCTACTTTTACTAAATTAAAAAACTAAATTAAGTAAGTAAATTACTAAACTATATGAAGACCCATTTACACATACTAGCCTACTGTGTAAGTGGGTCTGTCATCTCAAATGTTTTGTATGCTGGATGTAAAAAAAACAATGGAGGCGGATGGAATTTTTATTTATTTATTTTCAGAATTTTAAGGAAGAAAAGTCAGAGTTTTTTCTCTCAGAATTCTGACTTTTTTTTTCTTAGAATTTCAGAATTTTTATATTATTCTCAGAATTATCAGAAAAAAATCTGAATTCTGACAAAATAATTTCAGAAATCTGACATTCCCAGATTGGAGGAGAATTAGTTACACTGAAAAACAATGGGGGGGATCTTTTTTCCCCCAGAATTCCAGAAAATCATCGGAATTCTGAGATTAATGTCAGAAATTCTACAAAAAGGATTATGGCCACTATAAAAAAACAAAAAACAAAAATGTGGGGGGCTTGGAATCTTTTTTTTTTTTTTTTATAAAGACTGTGGTTTCAGTCACTTTTTGGTTTGGGTTAGACCCTTCCTTCCCACATCCTATCACAATATTAAACAAATAAGGAGGTAAAATGTTTTCCCTTCTTCACTGACCACCTCCTGTGCAATAAAGATATTACTGCAGAGTATATCTGGCTGTGGTCTCAAATTTTGTATTTAGACTATCACGGGACTTCCGCTAGAGCAGGCCTGGCCAATCCCAGTCCTCGAGAGCTACTATCCTGCAGCTTTTAGATGCATCCCTACTCCAACACAGCTGAATCAAATGGTTTGATTACCTCTTCAGCATGCCATCGTGTTTGGCAAAGGCCTGATAACAAGCCATTCATTTGATTCGGGTGTGTGGGAACAAGGATGCATCTAAAAGCTGCAGGACGGTAGTTCTCGAGGACCGGGATTGGGCACCCCTGCGCTAGAGTATATCATACTAATGTCTATATTTATTTAAGTCACTTCAGCAATTTTCCGATCGACTGCAGTTTCACTCATTTGATTAAAAGAACTTGGTTGGATACTGCTGTTTCATGCTTGGATCACTTTTTCACACAGATATTGAACACAGCACACCTGCAGTACTTAATACCACCACATCAGTGATGTATGATAACATACCAAAGTGCATATCTATGTACACAAATAAATCATAAGACCCAAAACATGTTAGACATATTTGCACAAATGCAGGAACTTTCAAAGTTTGATCTCACACAGTTTAGTCACCTGAAATATCATATTTCTGCAGGTACTTTGCAACTGAGAGCAAAAAAACCAGAGAAAGTTACATCTGATTTTGCATTTCCTTCAAAGCCTCTATTGGTGATCAGCCATAGTTGAACATGCCCATATCCCATGCACATAAAACAATATTATCTGTTGGTTATTTTAACCAAAGCAACAGTTTTGCTCAGGCATGTGTGCATGGAACATGTTCGGGGCCTAACATTTGCATGTTTGTGTGTTTTATGCTGTAAGGAGTGCTGCAGAAGTGACTGATGGCTCACAGTACTTTGTGCTGCTGATGATCACAGACGGAGTCATCTCAGACATGGCTCAGACTAAAGAGGCAGTTGTCAATGTGAGTATACATAGCACACTACACACAGAACATTTAATTGAATGTAGAGGCAGCACATCAGTGGGATCCACATCAACCCAAGACAGGTGATATGATGTGTAAAGTCTTGTATAATAGCATATACTGTGATGAACGCAGCTATCAAATCTGAAAAGTGTTTGTTAGTAAGAAAGTGCCTGCTTTTTCAGAAGTCCTTTAGATTTAAAATGGCCTGGCCTGTATTTGTATAGCGCTTTTCTAGTCCCTAAGGACCCCAAAGCGCTTCACACATCCAGTCATCCACACATTCAGACACTGGTGATGGTAAGCTACATTGTAGCCACAGCCACCCTGACAGAAGCTAGGCTGCCGGACACTGGCGCCACCGGGCCCTCTGACCACCACCAGTAGGCAACGGGTGAAGTGTCTTGCCCAAGAAAACGACGACCATTAACACACACATTCACACACTGGTGATGGAAAGCTA